AGCTTGCTTAGTTTGATGCAGTAACTACTGTTACATATCTACTTGATCATGTTGGAAGGACAGTTGGAGATGCAGGACTAAACAGATTAAGAAAAGTCAAAGGGAAGAGGAGAAATAAATTTGGGAGTCCTTGGTATAGCAGAAGAGAATGGGAAGAGATAAGGATAGCAGAAGAGAATGGGAAGAGATAAGGCTACATAGATGGTGAAGGAAGAAACAGAATACTGGGGAGGGATGCAGAGAGAGGAGACAACACACTGAAGGTACAGAACACATTTTAGCCAAAGCCTACCATGTATATAGGTAATGCTTGACTATTTTAATATTGAACAAAAATAGGCTTTTTTGTAGTGGGTTGTGTTGGTAGTTATTTTTAAGATGAGGTAACAAAGTGTACTTAAACATGAGTTCAGCGAGCCAGATGCCAGGAACAGTTTCAGAGAAAGGGAGAAGGAAGCAGTGAGACAGCAAAGAAAGTTCCATTCAGAAGGGAATAAATTAGTAGTGCTTTTGTCTGAAGGTTGGGAGTTGAGATTAAATTTATGCTTATTGGAGTTTCAAAATAGAAGCAAACAAACTTCATATTCTGCAGCAATGTTTATAGCATTAATGCCAGGAAAACTTCCTGTTTTGTTAGTAAACTCAGCAGGTATAACACCGAAGAAATATGGTACAAGTGCAATAATTGTCATTTTTAATTGGTGTTCTGGAAACCAGTCTTTTGATTGCAATATTTGTATTGAATATCAACTTGTACATTGAATTCAAGGCAAGATAGAGGTGCTTCTTAGACTAACGGAATCGGAGGTGCATAAGCTTTTGTGAGCAAGAGCTCACTTTATCAGATGCCAAATAGGACTATTAGTTACCTCATATCAAGCCTACAATGAGGAGTGAACACTTAGGTCACTTTATAAAAGTAACCACAAAGTTAAGCTTTGGGGTCTTGATGTTAAATTGCAGTAGGCTGTTTAACACAGTTTGACTAAATCTTTCACTGGTATTGAAGATGCAGCTGCTGCCTTACACTTCCTTCCCTTTTTCATCAAGGTTTGAAGGATCTTTGTGTAAGTCCTGTGAATTTTGTAGTCCACAACTGTAAATCTGTACAGCATTGATTTCACTGAAACAATTATCACTTGCACCACTGGGAATCTGCTCTGTGATATCATCTTAGTGTATTTGTGCCAAAAGGCCAGAGTCTTACTGAGCTGTGCATTGTACACACATGAAGAAAATATACCAAAATATTAGATTACTTAAAATGAAAAAAAATGAAATGGTGAAACACTTTTTGGACACTACAAAAATAAGTACAGCTTCTAAAAAAGTCCTTACATTGAACAAACCAGTCGCTTTAAGTATGTGCTGACAAAAAGATTTTTCTGTACTTACTAGAGAATTGCTGATAGTTAGTAGATCACTGGGAAATGAATGAGACATATCCTGTCTCAAGAGGCCTTGATAATTGTTAAAGGCATCATTTTCATTATGTTACTGCCAATCTTGTCAAGTTGGCTGTAGCTCTTAATACCTTGGGCGCTTTAGGAGCTCAGTAATGTCTCCTCCATGACTTGAGACTAGGAAAACAGGAGGCAAAAGTAAACCTTTTAAAATAACCTGAGCTGAATTGATCTCACTGAAACTCTGTAGAGAACAAGCATGGTCATTTTGGGTTAATCGGGGGGGGGGGCGGGGGGGGAACAGGGGGTTTTGGGTTAATCGGGGGGGGGCGCGGGTGTGGACAAGGGGAAGGCCATTAACTAGACTTGTCCCATGTATCTCTAACTGGAGTTAAATCAAGGCTGTATTTGGAGGAGAAAATAAAATATTGTATTATTTATGGTAGTACCTGTGCTGTGTGATGTGGTTATCAAACATGCAAGAAGTTGGGCCCTACTCTAAGGAGCTCAGAATCCAAGGACATACAAACAGGAAATTATGGGAAAGGAAATAAGGAACTTTTGCACAGTTGTTGTATAAGTCAACTAAATTGATTATGGCACAGGAGATGTAAAGCAGGTGGGGTGGGGCATTTGTGACTGAAACAAAAGTTGCATCGTGCATGTGGGCTGTGTTCAAAGAAGGCACAATGGTGATTGTTTGAGACTGACAAGTGAGTAGATAATGTCAACAGCATTGATGTAGCAGGAGGAACAAACAATAAAGTGAAAGCAGTAAGCAAGTATAAATAGGAGCGAAACAGAGTTCATAGAGCATGGAAGGGGGGGTGACCATGGACAAGCTTAAATGAGGAGTATTGGCTAAGAAGCTACTTGTGAGGGATCCAGGGAAATTGCATATCCCAATCAACAGACAACAAAAATGAGGTTTAGGAACAGTTTGTGGTACTGAAGCAAGGTAATGTTTATTTTTGGTTAGGACAGAGGAGAATGTTAGAGTAATTGAGATGAAAACATTTGGCAGCAGAAATGTATAGGTAAGATCTTGGCAGTCTTCAGAAAGATGAGATGTGGTAGCCAGAATCTGTATCCATCCTATCTGTATGAAGAGGCAGCAGTCAAAGTAATTTTCAGGTTTGCGACCTGCATGATAGAGGTGGTAATGTCAGCAGCGACAAGGAGAAAATGTTTTACCACCTTACTGTTCACAACATCAACCTCCTTGTAACAGCAGGCATCTCAGACTTTGTGTTTCCACATACTTTTCTACATAAATTCATGGGGAATGTGGCTCAAAACATATACAGTGACTATGTCTAGGGTTTAATATAGGGGTGCACTGATAAAGATTCTTTGGCCAATTATTAGCTAGCCAAATTGCCCAATACCAATCCAATAGCCAATTATGCAGCCCGGCAGCTTGGAGACCAGCATCCGGCTGGTAAGTTTGTGGGGTGTGGGGGGGCGCATCAAGGCCCCCATGGTGAGGGAAGGAGTGGAGCTAGAGCAGGGGCAGGCACTTCTGGGGCGTGGTGCAGGATGGAGCCTTGGACGGCTCATTGGGGTGGGGGGCGGGGGGGAGAGGGAGCCTCCCTGCTGCTGTGCACACCCCCATGTGGTGTGTGTCCTCTGGATTTGTGCACAGGGTGACAGCAGACTTCAGGGTCAGGAGCTGTGCCAGCCTTTTCCTGGCAGGGGACTGGCTGGGGCTGTGCTCAGGGTGGGTGGGGGTGGTGCAGGCAGCAGTAACACTGGGAGGGGGCTATGGGGTGGCAATGGCCACCCCAGAATCTACCATAGCGGTAAGAGGCCAGCACAGCTCCTGGCCCTGAGCCCGCAGCAGGCAGCCCACCCTTGCCCTGTGCAGAAATCTGGGGGGCACATGCCCCCCATGTCTCGCATGGGGGTGCATGCAGCAGGGGGAGCCATCCCCCACTCCCCACCCTGTGCCCCCCAGATGAGCTGCATGCAGCTCTGTCCCAACACCCCACCCCAACTGGGTAGTACCTGCTCCAGCCCCACTCCCTCCCTCACTTTGGGGACCTCAATCTGCTCTCCCCCGCCACCCACCCACCCACCATGCAGGAGGCTGCTCTCCAAGCTGCCGGGCTGCATTCCTGGCCCCATGCAGCTGCGTGCATGCACACAGCATTTATCAGTGACGTTATTGGCTACACCAGCCAAAAAAAGCTGATTGCCGATAATGTCAGTTTTCCTTTTATCGGTGCCCATCCAATATGGACTGATATATCAATGCACCTTTAGTTTTAAGACAGTGTACAGCTGTAACATTCCTGATTAAGTGGCAGTGTTTCTAAGGCTTGCACTTAGATTAGCTATGACATATTTCATGGTTGGAGAGGACACACCTGTGTTATGGGAGTTTCTTTCTTTTTACGTTGACACTAAAAAAAATAAAAATAAAAGTTTTGGCTTTCAGACTCTCGCCCTTTTAAAAAAACAACCCCCCCCCCCC